CTGGGGTTCCGCCGCCGACCCGCGTGACGGGAGGCGGAGAGGACGTTCGGTGCGGGGCAGCTCAATCGGGCGGAAGTAATCCTGGTATGTCCCTGTCACCGAATACTATGCTGTTCGGCTGCTCCTACACCCATGTAAAAACCAAAGCAAATCTGTATGAATCTTCAAGTGGATGTACATGTGCATGTACAGCAGACCATGATTCTAAGCGCTGTGTAATGTGCACTTATATGGCTTAATCATGTTCTATGTATGTATTGTATGAAACCCTGAAGTATGTGCAGAAGCATTATGAAAAGAAACACCTGATATTAAGTTACATAATGGAATTGGGGAAAAAAAATCTTAATTTTCACTGATTTTGGGTGTGTGTGTGTGGGGGTGTGCAGTATTGAAGATTTTGTTTTGTTTTTGCCGTTGAATTCATTTTGTGTATATTGCCAGCAACTAGAGACAAACCCATTTCTTAAAATGCCCAAGCTTTGAAGAGGGTAGAGGGCAGAGTTAAAGTATCTGAATAGTTTTTTAGAGAGATCATGTCAGAATCAGATATAAGTAAAAGTGTATCAAAAGGACAAAGGTTACTACAAGTCAGCCATACATTTATAATCAGCACTTGGTATAGAGGCAGGAGGATCAGGAGTTCTAGATCATTCTTTACTACCTGGGGGTGGGGGGGGTGTCTAGCATGAGACCCTGTCTCAGAAATGTGTATCCCTCAAATAGTTGAGCAGATAAAGCACTTGCCATACAAGCCTTACTGTTTGAGTTCCTTCCCTGGAAACCACAGTGGAGGGAGAAAACCGCCCACACATGCGCACGCGCGTGCATAGTGCGCACGCACACTCAAGCATAAAGAATAAGCAGAATATTCAAATTTCATAGATCCGTCCGGGGAATTTGTATAAGGAAGCTAATTTAATGGCTCAAGCCCTCTTGACTGGAGGAGGGATGAGTGGGGTTTAGTGACCTGCTTTCTGCTAACTGATTTTCTCTCCCTTTGGGAATCTGTCATTCTGTGTTTACGGTCGATGCCATCATGTTGGAATGGCTGTAGTTGGTTACTATAGCATTTGCACGGCTGCCAAGCAGGGACTCACTAGGTTTTGCGGCAATACTTGGAGGTGGTTTCCCAAGTTTTAGGGATAGGACAAGAATTTGACATGCAAAGTTACTGGAGTTGAAACTCATATAGAACGTTTATAGAAGCCTAGCCTCCTTTGGAATCAGGAGTATTCCCCTGGAGGAGATAGCTCATCAAAGAAGTTGTCTGTGCCAGGCCACCCAGGGCCTTTTGTGTCAAGGTATATACATATAGAGCTGTATACAGGAGATACAAGGGAAATTATGAAGGGAAAGAATTAGGTGTGTAGAAGAAAAAACCCAGAAATATATATATATATATATAGCTTACAGGCAATTTTTTTTGTTAGATTGTTGTGTACATTTATGACTGTGGGCATGTATATACGATGGCCAGTAGGTCAGCTCGCAACTTCCTGGAATGGGTTTCTCCCAAAACTTGTGGGTCCCAGGGATCAGACTCAGACCGCCAGTCCCAGACGCTGGTGTCTTTATCTGCTGAGCCCTCTCCCCAATCCAAGCACTTGGTTTTCAAATCTTCCTCCGAGCCTCAGTGCACTTCTCTGGAAAACGTGGGTGATAGGCACTTTGAAATATCAATATTTCAAAATTTGAAATATTGGAAATGGCTTCCTGCACACGCGTGAGGGCTTGAGTTTGGACCCCCAGTGTGGGAGGTAGACACAGACTGATCTTGCTGAGCGGAAATCCAGCTGAGTTAGCAAGCTCCGGTTCACTCAAAGACCCTGCCTCTAAACACCAGATAAAGAACCATTGAGGGGGACACCCAGTCTTGGTCTCTGGCTCCTGAGTCATAGACGCACATGAACTCTCAAACACATATACATATGTACACATGTAAACAAAATGAACTGAAGATTGGTGTGAAAAAAAGAAAAATTAAAATATTTTCAACATTATAAAATAGAAGGCTTAGGGTTGAGGCTCAGTGATGTAATCCTTGCCGGCATGGTTAAAGCTCCACGGTCCCATTCCCAGCACTGTAAGGTTTATTTATTTATTTATTTATTTACTTATGGGTTTTCAAGACAGGGTTTCTCTGTAGCTTTGGAGCCTCTCCTGGAACTAGCTCTTGTAGGCCAGGTTGGTCTCAAACTCACAAAGATCCTCCTGCCTCTGTCTCTTGGGTGCTGGGATTAAAGGCGTGGGCCACCACCGCCTGGCTTTTTTGTTGTTGTTGTTGCACTGTAAGAATTTTAAAGGTTTATGTTGTGTCTTTGTGAATATATGTCATGTGTTAGATGGTGCCTGAGGAGCTGAAGTTGCAGAAGGTTATGAGCTGTCTGAAGTGGGGCATGAAAACCAAATTCAGGTTCTCTGGAAAAGCAGCAGGCTCTCCTGTTAAGCCATCTCTCCAGCCCCAATTATTATTATTACTTTACTAAAAGTATGAAATTATTAAGTGCTGCATTCTCTCTAAAAGCTACTTTGAAGAAACAAAGGTCTAATTACTGCATGAGTTCATGTTTAAAGTCAGTTTGGAAGATGGACGTTGTGGCATCCATCTGTAACCCTGCGCATGGGAGCCCGAGGTAGGAGCTTGGGTTGGAGGACCCCAGTCTCAAAGGGAGGAGGCATCCTTTCTTCTGTGTCTTCTTTTCTCCCATTTATAATATTGTATTTTATTTTCTCCAAACATATACATTGCTTAAATCTTCTTGTTAATGGAGATACAAATGCATGTCACGTAAATGCCATTTAAGATATTTTATTGGCCTATATAAAAATCAAATGTATTTTTCAATAAGACTTCCCCAGACTAAGTGGTAGTAGACTTCCTGGGATTTCCCATCAAACTTGATTTTCAGCTACTGTTGTTCTCTTGGGGATGAGTCCCAGGAGTCTCATCTTTCAGGCTCGCATCATACACAGTGGTTTGAAGATCAAAATTGTAGGATTTACGGACTATCATAACTAAATTCGTATCCTTAGTCAGTGTGTTCAGATAGATAGGAAACTTTCTTTTAAGGGTAAGCTATTCTTACACCTATAAATTGATACTTAGTAATAGAACTTCTAAAGAAGAGCATAAATGCATGGATCAGAAACATTCAATATTGGAATGACAGTAATCTCATTCCTATAAGACAGAACTTCATAAATATTTGAAATAGTGATTAGTAAAAATTTAAAAGTGAGTTAAAAACCAGAATAATACTGGCTCTTTTTTTCCCTGTGACTCTGTGTAAGGAGCAGTTGGGAGATGATCTCCTGTTGGGTTCCAGCAGACCTGAAGTGAAGTCTGTTTTTTCTAGTGACTAACAGACCTGGGAAATCTCTTCTTGGAACCTTCTGTCTATTCTACAGGAATAGTCTAGCTGCTCACATACCACAATTACTGCAGATAGACTCAGATTCTAAAAAGCACATTACTGCTAGGAGAAAACAGACGTACTTACTATATTGCTCTATGATTCTCTACAGTGTATCTAACTATATTAAAAGACCTTCTTCTTCATTGAGGCTGAGGCAGGAGACTCTCCATTTCCAAGCTGGGTTACATGGTAAGAACCTGTCTTCAAAATAACAGCAGCAACACTGACTGCTACTGCTACAGAACCTTTAGTTTTTATTGATTGATATTTTCTCTCTCTCTCTCTCTCTCTCTCTCTCTCTCTCTCTCTCTCTCTCTC